ATACTTCTCTTCATTTTCTGGTCTTTCAGTTGATGCAATGGCTAGAGGCTCGGAATGATAAATTGGATAGCCGAGTTCGAATTCAACTACGGTTCTTTCCATTCACTGACGCAAAAATACCTTTGGAAAAGGTATGAATCCCTGCCCTGCGACTCCCCCATCAGGTATAGGTTAAATTTTAATACTTGTTTTTAGTAAGTTCATTGTTATTCTGAAAAACTGATAACGCAATATTCACTCGGCAAAAAAGAATAATTCTTACAATCCAAAATAGTTTCCGGCTTTAAAAGTTGTTGATAAGTCGTAAAAAATACCAATCAATGAAGCAGTCAATTGCTGGTCTTTCTAATCTTAAGACAAAACAAAAGAAGATACTAATATTATTCTACATCTTTTATTTTAATTCTTGATAGCCTTATTATTGTCTAGGCATAATCTAATTTAGGCATTCACTGAGAATCGAATTGATTCTTCAAGTGGAATGGCCTACGAAATCAGCTTGCTAACCTAACACCACGGCAAATTGCCCTTCTAGATAATATATTGACGCAAGTACCACAAGTCATGGGATAGATATATTATAAATATAATGGTTGTGGCGCTAACGTAACTTGACGTCATGGAAATGCCGAGAACGATATAAGCTGTGCTATGACATCTGGAGAGTCAATGGGAACACCACTTAGGCTGCTCATGGTAAGGAGACGTGAATTATTGGAGTTCGAAAGGTACATGATCTCAGGTGCTAGATAAAAGGGATATTCCATTTCTGAAATTATAGGGACATTTCACATTCCACGATTTACGGCGTCATGTGTGTACCGGAAATCCCTGATAGAAGACAATACAGTCCACCGTTGACAGCGTAATCGCCGACCATGTGTTCTTAATGATCATGGCTAGAGGCGTCCAGTTTGAAATGACTTAAATCCACATTGAATACATGGGATAGAAGTCACATATCCAGCAAGTTTGTTGGGCGTTTTTTTTGTTTTTTTTTAGCTTCCATTAGATAATAGAACAGAAAGCTCCCAATTAACACAACCATGCCACCGGTTACAACGCCTTACCTGAACACGTGATTCCTCTAATTGGACCCCGCAGTACTGACAAAGTGTGGTATTGTCTGATGAGTCGCCGTGGCAGTTGTTTCTGGCAGATGATAAAGTTGGGGCGTATCACAGACTTTCTGAGGCTATGAACGCTAGTTGTCAATATGGCACTTTACAGTCTGACGGTAGTTACATAGTGGCGTGTGTTGTGCACAGGTGGTATGTGTTGGGTGGCATTGTTCATTAAAACATCACTAACACATTGTTACCCATTTATTAATACCATGTACTCTAAAAGACTAGCAGTTATTTCAGCAGGATAACGCCTCGTATCATCGAGCCCAAGTTATTAAGAATTGGTTTGAAGAGAACGCAACAGATTTTCGATGAATAGCGCGGCCAACACGTTCACCCGAAGCCTAATCTAGGACGTGGTGGTGAAGTTTCTTCACACGTAGATTCCTATACTTACAAATATCAATGAGTAGTGGGTAGATGGGACAGAAGGCATCAAGAATCAGTTATGGTTTGACATGGTTAATAATGACAGAAGATATTTCTTTTTATCAGATCGTTACCGTTTTTTTGAAAAAATGAGTTTAAAGATTAAGTTTAGATAAAAGATTATAGCCTTGGAATTTCATTCCGACGAGTAGTGAAAACCTTACAGCAGAGCTTTATAAAATTTACAATTTACTGAAGCTCTACAAACTGTATATGGACAAGATGCAAGGCACATGCACATTATTACTAAATCATTTTGTCATCAAATAAGACCCGCTGTTGCCATATTTATCACAACGTTTCGGCCGTTGTGCGCCCCGGCCTTCTTCAGGTGGTTGGAATGTCGAACTGACCCCTTTATTTCGCTCACTGAGGTAGACTGTTCTATTTCCACTTGCCATGTCTAATGAATGTCAGCTATTAGTTATCTCCTGTTAATTCCCCTCTCCAAGTTCTCCGCCGCCTTAACCAGGTATTGAACTCACACTCTTTGGGTCCTGTCACTGGATCTAACTAACGCCACTGTGCCACCTGTCCTTGAGGACACGTGACACAGTGGATAAAGGTATTATAGTGGATAAAGGCAAATTATACTGAACAATTTAGCTAAATTATGATGTAATATGTTATACAGTGCAATAGTTTTATCGCGATTTTCAATAAATAACGCAAATTCAAAACATTTTTTCTTATAATTTGTACCCGGCATTATTATGGTGTTATATATACTTTTTTACCTATATATATTTATATATTACCTATTTTTTCCTTTTATTAATTATGACCTAAGAAATGGTGTAAGATCTTATTTCTTGATTAACCATTTTTTATATCTTTTACAATTTATTTTACAAAGTTTAATTATAGAATACAGAAAAAATCGCATATTTTGCTTGAGGTAATTCATAATTAGAATTCTGACTTGAATATATTTTCCATTCCATATATCAATACTAAAATATCAATTTTATTTGAATTTATTTCTGAAATAGCAAAATTTTGCTGTCAGTTTGTGAGCAAATACCTGAGGAAACTAGGTATTTCAGTACATTTTTCAGCCGATCTTTAAAACTAAATGCTCAAAGATTGGTTACAGTTATAAATCAATTCTTCCTAGGCTATACTTATTTCATTAAACCCCAACTTTTACACTGAGTGCAATGTTGATTTTCTCAAAAAAGGTGAAAAATCAACCCGCCTTAAACTCATATAAATAGAAGTAAACTGAAACTATCACCCAATTGTGATGCTTTGGAATACCATGGCGAATTTTTGTTTGATGGTTTTATTCCAAATAAGAATGCTTCCGTTCACATTCTTACATGGTCGACAGCTTTTTGTGTTCTTAAGTAATCCATTCAAACCAAATTATATGTTGATTCTGTAAATCGTTAGTGTTCCATATTGGAAGGCTTACAGCTATATCATGTTGAAATACCAGTTCTCGTAGGATCACCGAAATAAGCAACGGCAAGCCTGGTCAGTACCTAGATGGGATGACTGTTTGAGAATACCAACTGCTGTATGACTGAGTGTACAGGTGGTGTAATTGATAACGACTTGGAATTTTTAATAGCAGAGCCAATTTCTAATTCCTTTCGGATTCGTTATATTCACTTGCGCTCAATTAATTTTGGGAAGAGTATGAATCCATTTCTTCTCCTTCCAACTATAGGTTAATTAGTATCAGTAAATAATTATTATCTTCAAACATTCTTACCATCTAAAAATATTTTCTGGCTTTAAATAACCCGCTAATGGCTGATAAGCCGAAAAAACAAATCAATCTAATCAAATGTTCCATGCTGGATCGTTGCTGGCATTTCTTTTGAAAATGTTAGTTTCCTGGTGGCGCCCATCTTCTCTCTACATGACACGCGACAGGTTGCAATTGGATTCATGTTATCACAAAACAAAATGTAATCTTTGACTTGACTGTAAATTAATGAAGAACAAACATTTTCGCACAAATGTAAGGAAATGTTTTGTTTTTTATTATCTTACAATATTATATTATCGTCCTTCATTATTTTAAATTATTTTGATTCTTTTGTGATGTTAGACGCTCATTCGTTCTAACTCTCGTTAGGTCAACGAATACTCGTTATCACTTCCAGAATGCTCGTTGTAGACGAGACTTTGTAAATGCAAATACTGGCAGTAGTAACACCTTCAAATATTACTCGCACTAATAATACTTGATCAAATAGCAATCGCCAAATAGTAATTCGTATAATGATCACTATAGAGAAATAGTATAGTGGATAGCGATCACTTAGACGTCACACTAATTCTCAATTACACGTTTCATTTGCGATCACGTGATCTACTTATTTAATAATGGGATCGTCCGTGTTTTCTCACTGCTGATCTTTGTTCAAACTACAGTGTCGACAAGAACAATTTATTCCTATACAACAGATTCATTCCTTTTTTCTTCGTTTGACATTTTGGTCTTTATACATTTCGTCAGTGTCTGTTGAATTTTGTACTTAATCATGAGATCTGTGTTTCTATCTACGAGTTTTTGGGAATTGTTCATATCTAACTAATGTTTGTTTTGAACCAGTGAGTTTCCAGTGAACTGGAATTTTCGCAATCAATTCTCGCTATTTCTTTCTTTCTTTTTTTTTTTTTTTTTTTTTTTTTTTTTTTTAGTGGCTTCCTCTTCTTGCCGAAAATGTGCCGATATCTCCAGATATTTATTCCATATTTATTGACTTTGATTGAATCCAACAGAACCTGGTTGGCCTGCTTCTTCCTCTGCAACATGAGATAATGTCCGTCACGTGTTTACAACAAACCCTTGAGGAAGGCATAATGGTGCAGTGGCTGAAAGTTTATGTTAAATTTTCAAAAAAAAAAAAAACAATTTAGTCCAAACGGACCAAAATACAATGATTTCAACACTTCGTCCAAAATATTCAGAGAAGAAAACATTTGTAATAATCTAATTTGAAGACTGAGAGTGAGTCAGTGACTGGAAGTTAGACGTTGAAAGTTTATTTTGTTCTGAGACAAAAAAAAATTCACTTCTTTAGTGATGATCATTGCATGTAACAATATAAACAAAATATGCAATTCAAAGTCATCATTTCAAACGAAACCAAAGATATACTTTATATTTTGTAAATTTTTTATTAAATTATTTCATTATATTTGGGAATTGTAAACAGTCTAGTGACACGGACAGGTGCATAATATCCAGACTGAAACTTTTTTTCTCGATTGACAAGTGAATAAGAAGACATTACTCTAAAGACTTTGTCAATACTTACTCAATAACACATCTGCCAGCGTAAATTAGTGCCTGTAACCCCTGGCAATGCTAAAAAAAATGTTTCATCAACGACCCTCCCGATGTCATCTGTTCTCGACTCTATGTTGATGACACAACTACTTACTACTGTCTTAATAAATCTGAGAGGTTTATTATGGTCAATCTTACGGCCATATCCCGTTGCAGTACCTGTTCCCGTACGATCACCGAAGTTAAGCAACGTCGAGCATGGTCAGTGCTTAAATGTGTGACCGCTTGGGAATACAGGGTGCTGCGTTAGTCGGACGGAGTCCGTGTTCCAATTCCAGTTGGGTTCCTTATATAAACTTCAGTCGAAATGAAGCTATCTATAAATATTTTCGTCCTAATAGTTTTGATGAGAAAAGTAAACTCGACGAGCTGAGTTCAAATTTCAAACTAACCTGTTGCGTTCACATCTGCCCTTGGGAAAGTTGCGAATCCATCTCGTCTCCCTACAACTATGGATTAAATAACTGGATAGACTGAGCTTTATATCCATGGATGACAACAAGTCTAACAAAATAATAATTTAAAACGATGAAGAAAGAAACCGCTACAATATTTTTCTGTAATCTATTGAGAATCATGATCACCTACGTCCTGAATGGACATGGAATCTAATATTGCGATGGTACGGCGAAAAGTTTGAATCCCTACCCTTTTCAAAGAATCTGACCAAATAACCATCGATGAAAATTTGGAGGAGAAGAGGTTCTTGGTTTGGCTGAGTATTTTCAAAACCTTTTCTATATTCAGGAAAGTGTCTGAACCAAAGATCATGACTGGAGTGATCAAAGAACAAATCTCTTATCTTCGATAAAATGACATGATTAAAGTAAGACACGTGACCAGTTCACACATCGTTAAGATGACACGTCGCAGAATCACGCGACCAATTAAGTACACGTCATGCTGTTGGGGATTTGCGTATGGAACGAATATATAAATCGATGAGTAGGCATTTCCAAATTATGGAGAATATGTGCAGAGCATTCGTGCAGAGTACGTTTTCACTGCTTTTCGAATGCCCAGCACTTGTACGCCACTCAGTACGAAGCGATGCATCACAACGGTATCCGACCCAAACGTCTTGAACCAAAACGTCTCTCTCTCTCTCTCTCTCTCTCTTTCAGATTCTTTCTCTCTTTCTTTCTATCCCTCATTCTCTCCTCTTCTATTTCTCTTCTCTATAAAACATAATTTTTTTAACTTACAAAACAGTCATTTTGTATCTTTGTACTCTTAGCTGCTAGACAGAAAATCCCAGGTTATTTTAAAATTTTGCTGAAATGAACACATTAGAATTATTAAATTTAAAGTCTTTCATTTATTCAAGACATATTTTGTGCTCGCAAGTATTTTCTTGTTCATTTCAACGTTTCAAACTCTTTGACAGAAATAGTTATAATTTCATCAGAGTTTTCTGAAAAGGAATGTTATTTTTATCAGTCTGTTCCGGTAAGGTTTGGAATTTTAATATACTCGCTCCGAAAGTAATGCCTCAACTTAGGATAACTTTATGATAATTTCTGAGGTGGATGGTGATGGTATGCCAGTTGAGCTTGAAACTTCACGCTAATAACCCCTATCTTGTTTAGCCTTGCTACAGATAATAGCTGAGATGAAATAATGTCTGGCATAAAAACGTGTAGGATGTGTCACTCAAACATACAGAAAGTATTTTTTTTATATTCTTCAACGTTTGCTTGCTGAACGTTTTCGTAATATTTAATTTAAAAGAGTGCTTAGTAAAAAACTAGAGCAATATTCATTTTTTAGGATATTACATCGAAAAACATGTCAAAATCGCTACACAACTGCAGTCGTGTTTCGATGCGTATCAGTTTTCCTCTCTACTGTTTCCTCATCTTTTTTTAACTTATTCACCGTTCTCTTGATGGTTCTTGAATGGACTTTGAAGATAAAGCCAGAGTATGAATGTTGGGATCATTACTGAAGGCCTGAATGATCTTTTTCCTCTGACCTTTCCTAAGTTGGGAAGACAGTGGTTCTGACACAAAACTGTTACACTCAATATATATATATAGATAGATAGATAGATAGATAGATAGATAGATAGATAGATAGATAGATAGATAAATGAAAATTTGTGGCGGAGAGACTAATAACAAAAAAAAGCAACAACCAAGAAAATGAGATAGGAAAAGAATATATTTGAGTTAATTGCTTTGTGTGGTTTTTAGAAATAAACTTTCTGAAAATAAAGATGATTTTCAGGGCATCTTGAGTTTGGGAAATCCAGGCATATGTTGACAGATGAGTTGATAATAAAGATTTCCACTCCTTGTGGTTTGAACCTTTGTTACGCTCAAGAACAGGTCAGTTTACCGCTGCTCTTGTACCCATATTGTAATAAATCACCAAGAAGAGGGAACAAAGTGCAGTTTAATATCCCCTTTGACATCGATTGCAGAATAGTAACAATTCTAATACGCGGTAGGAGTCAAGGGCATTTGTCTTTTGACATTTTTGCACACTTTTGCTCACACAAATAACCACAGTTGTGATTTTCGTAGCGAACTTTCAATTAAAAATGTCTTTTTTCCCCTAAATGCTGGTTCTTTTATTTCTGAATGAAACAAATTGTAAATTCTTTGATTTGTGTTTCCTTGCAACAAAGAAAGAAACCAATTGCTTTGCTTCAAGACAAATTGCGTCTCTTATTTTGCCGCTAATGGTTGGGAATTTTACAAAAAAATAAATGAATGTAAAGATGAAACAAAAATAAAAAATAGTCTTTAAAAAGCTTAGAAATTTACAATACTTCATACTTTTATTTCCGAACAAGCAAGAATGAGAAGGTGGCGATTAAAGAAGAAATAAGCATTGAACATTTCGTAATCTTAATTAAAAGGTGACGTCAGTAACATTTTGGTATGGGCGGGAGAATTCTTTTTTCGTCATCCAGGTTAACGCAACTCACGTGATGTCTAACATTTTCGAACACATAAAAATTCTAATTCTTTTACCATGAATGCGAGAAAAGTTTCAGCGAAATTTGCCTTTTTCCATTAAAATGTGTTGATATTTAAATTATTTTTACGAATTGGAAACTTTAACAATTCTGATTACCCTGCTAACAAACCGATATAGCTTTTATTTCGTAAAGATATTGCATTGATTTCATCCTATTCAGGAATGACACAAGGATAATATTTAGGATAATTGTATACGATCCTTTCTACAGATATGTATTGTACAGGATGGTTTAAAAGTCTTGTCACCATCCTACGTCTCTTCCAAAATGTAGAAGCTCGTGTCAGCCATCTGAAACGGAAAATTATATTATATAGGGATGACGAGACTTTCGGACCACCCTGTACAATTCATGCCTGTAGGTATTTCAAAAAACTTCGTCGAATTCTTTCTTTAATAATTTTTTAATGCGTTGATTTTTTATTTGATTTGCTTTCTAATTTTATGCATTTGTTTCTCTAATCAAAATAAAAAGGATGGCAGAAATTAAAAAATTCATTTTTTTTTTCGAATCCAAAGAACATCAGAGGGAGCCTTAAGAAATCTTGTTCCGCAAAATAAGCTTTTCATTGTGATCATTTATTGTGTTGAGAATGAAGGGTTCAAATTACTTTCAACGTATGATATAAAGTTTTCAAAAACATTTTCATTATGCTTGTTAGAGTATTTGTAAAGCGTTATAATAAAATAAAATTCTGGTAAAAGCAATTGATGCGCTCAGTTTCGTGAATATTATATGTTCAAAAATTTAGAGCTAATTCTACGCTTTCAAATCCAGCATTTGTTACGGTTATTTATTACAAATACTTTTGAGAAAATCGTCTGGCTGTAATTTTTTTTATTTATTTATATTCCATACATGAGTAAAGAAGGCAAACTCAGTTTCAAAGTAAGTAAATACCACCCTGATTGTTTGGCTACTGACTTGTTTGGCCTCGTAAGACAGAAACTTTTTTGAGGATGTCTATGTCACAAGGCATGAAAAAAGATGCTGGCCTTGTTGTTCAAGATTTATAAGGGTGGTACTTAAAAGTGACCCGAGATTGAGTGGGTAGAACATCAGCGTTCCGGCAACCAGACCAGAGTTCAAAATTTACCATGTTCGATTTGTCAAGGAGAGTTTTTGATATAGGCTGGCGGGGGAGGTCGTCTGGGAAGTACCTGAAAATTATACCAGGTGTTGATCCATGCCTTTTGATTCAAGTAGAATAGACGAAACTGCTTGGAAACTGTCGATGGCTTTGCGAGCAAGAAATCACAAGTCATCGTGAGCGAGGATTCGAGTTTACTGGTCATTATTTTAATAAATAACACCTAATAAAGCTTTCGAGAGCCATTCAAAGAGGCTTAGAGTGGAAATGAAAATCATGCATGAGGTGTGTGAAATGTGTGGAAGAGCATGTTGCAGGAATTGGGGATTATGTTGATAGATAACGATCGACTCTTGACTTGGAGAGGGCAATATTAAAATATTCCGGATAGCACTCACGTGGGAAGTGGTAGTTCTTGGCAAAAAGCTAGCAGAGTGGAATTTGTTTCTTACATTTGGAATACGGAGGAAATAAGAGTGATTCGATTCCATGGAAGATGGGTGGTGTGTCCTAGTAGTAAAGGACGAAACTGGTAGAACTAAAGTGTGATTCTGAACATTAGCAATGGAAATAGCGATGAAGTAGCAATAAAGTTTTCATTATTGCGTCTGTAGATGCAAGGTGGAAAATACATCAAGGCTTGCACAACATATTTCTCTCTTTTTAGTAATGTTCACCCAATACAAGGCCCAAGAGCCACACAAGGTAGAAGCTTATTGTGTTGGGTTATATTAACGTAAGAACGGACAAGCTTTAGGAGTATAGAGCTGAGGTTGACTTTAGAGAAAAGCGGAAACCGAATCCTAACAGAAAACAAGGGAAAAACCTTCTACTCATGTTCAAAAGACCGGGTAAGAACCCTAACCGGACGATAGGCGAATCTATCAACTCCTATTGGTGGAAGAGAGAGAGAGAGAGAGAGAGAGAGAAAATGAAATAAATAGTTAGTGAATAAACTTTCAGGGCTCAGACTCAGATGTTATATGTAAAATGATGAAGCAGACTTTATAAGGAACCGGAAACCCATCCCTAAACAGGAAACAATGGATAAATGGTGTTACTATAGTAATTGGTCTACGACGGTATAAAACACTGTAGCATGTGGTCTATCTCATTTATTACTATATTATGTCTTCTACCGCGCTATGTAACACTCTAGAAGATTAT